GATGCTATAAATTCAATACTAATTCTACAGCCACATGAGTTATGAGCATAAAATATATCATGCAATCTCTAGTCTTTAACAGTGAAAAGCTTAACAAGAATGGATGCTGCTAGAATAATGCTGCTTCCTTGCCATGATAACTGAGCATTCATCTCCTGCTCTCAGCTGGCTTCTTCAGCAGTTAGAGCTGCAAGGAGTGGCTTAAGTCTCATAACCAAATTAGAGTGGAGACATTGGCCACATAATACACATGCTCCATTTTTTTAAAAATTCTGAATCTTGGACAACTGTTCTCTTGTAACTACTTTACAGTTTCTAGAAGCAGTTACTGTCCAAACCTGGAAGAACTTAAGTCTCAAATGAGCATGTGAATGAATGGAGGGAATTAAACAAAAAAGAAAATTTAAAAAGATGAGATCTGATAGGGGAGAAGCCAGATGAGAAAATAAAAAAAGGAACGTAATTTAAAGTTTATTCCAGCTATAATGCAGGTTATTCTGATTTTAAGGTCACATCAAATGGCATACTTCTGAGTCCATTCTTGAGATAGTCTGTTATACTTGCCTCTGTCTGCTTTATAGATCCATGCAATTTCTGGCACTAGGGGGTCCTCTGGGTTTGGATCACATAGCAGTGAACAAATGGATAAGAGAATTTCAGAAATAATTAAAGCAGGAGACCACTGTGATCTTAGAAAATACTGAGACAAATGCTGCCATTGCTGTTTATATTTGGATGATAAATTCTTGTTGTAAATGCAATCTTAGGTGGTTTGAAGAGGTAGTCTGTAGGAAAACGAATTGTCAAAAAGAACACACCACCTCGATATGGGCTGTCATTAGGTCCCATAATTGTGGCTTGCCAATGGAACATGTCATCCCTAACTGGGCCTGCAGAACATTGTGCTGGAGGGTCACAGGCCAAATCACTAAGTTCCTTATTAATCTGCTTCAACACCACAGTCTGTGCTATCCCGGCCCTCAGTGTCCACATGTGCTCCGTCCTGCTGCATCTGGATGGCCCTTGGCTCCCAGCAGCTCAGACACAGCCCTTCAACTATGCCAACCGGAAGTCACGGGATCTTGCTTCTTGATCCATTCTAAGTCTCCTTCTTTTCACTGGTAAATTGAGACCATTTATGTTGATGGTTATAACTGATATATATTGACTTAGCCTTGCCATGTTATTTTCTTGTCATTGGTTCCCTTTTATTCCTCCCTTTGTTTAATTACTTGCCTTGCCTGGTATATTCATTCTCTTGGGGTTCATGGAGTTGTAGCCCTTGTTATCTCTTTCTAAAATGTCCTTCAGAACATTTTAGAGTGCTGGCTTGGTGGTCATGAATTTCCTCAGGTGTTCTGTGTTGTGGAAGTATCTTATTTCTCCATCATTTTTGAAAGATAGTTTTGTAGGGCACATCAATCTGGGCTGGAGGTTGTTTTCTTTAGGAGTTGAAATACTTCACTCCAAGCTCTCCTTGACTTAGGGGTTTGTGTTGAGAAGTCTGCTGTGATTCTTATGGGCTTTGCTTTATAGGTGACTTCTTTTCTCTAACAGCTTTTAATATTCTGTTCCTGTGTTGAATTCCTGGAATCTTGGTTATTATGCCTTTATGCAGTTTTTATTTTAATCATGGCTAACTGGAGTTCTAGATGCTTCACTTATCTGAATGTCAAATTCATTTTCCATGCTTGGGAAATTTTCTGCCATTACTTTTGTGAACAGGTTTTTTTATGTCATTTGTGGTATCTCCTGCTTTTTCATTGATTCCAATCAACTTTATATTGTTCTTCCTTGCATCATCTAGCAGCTGTTGGATTGATTTCTCATGTTCCCTTGCTATTTTTTTAGAAATAGTTTTTTTTCAAAATTGCTAACCACAATATTGTCTTCTATTTCTAGTATTCTGTCCTCACACTGGCTTATTCTGCTGAATACTTTCAATGGAATTTTTAATCTCCTGGATTTTCTTTGAATTTGTTTCATGGATCCCATTTCTTTCCTTCATTGAATATTCATGGTTTCCATCATTTTCCTAAGCTCCTCTACTTACTTTATCTGTATCTGCTCTAGAGTCACAAACTATGTCTTTCATTATGGTCATTGTCTCTATTCCCACTCCTTTTTATAGCTGAGTAATATTCTACTGTATGGAAAGATCACATTCTATTTCTCCATTCACCCATTGTTAGACATCTGGATTGTTTCCACCTTTTGGCTATTATTAATGAAGCTCCTGTTGATGTTTGTATATAAATTTTTGTGTGCACATATGTTTTCAAGTCTTTTGCGTATATATCTGTGAGCCCTTAATTTTTCAATAAAATAATGTCACTTAATTTAAATCAAGGAATACATCTGCAATTTGAAAACTATCTTGAACTCAAAAGACAAAATGGGCATGGGGGAAAGTGAGCTTCTCTTGTCCCTGTGCCCTGCACCTCTTTCTTCTTCTGTCCATTGCTCCCAGAGGCAGCCTCTCTGCAAACACTCTGCCTCATTGTAATGACAGCCTGCCTGGGAGGAACCAAGCATTGGGAGCAGGCAAGAGCCAGCCTGGTAATGCCAGAGGAAGAGCACAGGGCATAGCCTCATCTTTTATGAGTGTGCCCCTCGAGAAGCTGCTTAGTCTTAGAGGACAGCCAGCAGGTAGACAGGTCCAAAATCTGGCTCAGTCACTTCTGGGCTCAGAGGTCTCAAATGAGCTGCTGAGTTTCTGGGACTCAACTTCCTTATGGGAGTGGGGTGCAGGGACAGGAGAAAAAGGGAGGGAGACAGAGAGAGACACTAGGATCTACTTCACAGAATGGCCATATGAGTGGATGAGCTAATAAATGCAGTGGCTTTACACCATGCCTGACACACAGAAAATGCTCAGTGGTTGCTGCTGCTATTGCTACTACTGCTTCTTCCCCCTACTGAGTTGATCCTCCATTTTCTCATCAGGAAAACAGAGTAGTGACCTCCATGTGCAGACCCCCAGTGAAAGCCTGGTGTGTGGCCACTTCTGGGCAGTGGGGCTCAGTGGGTGAGCATGGCTAAGCTGCAAGCTCACCTCCCTGCATGCTGCTCTGGGCCTTCTGAGAGCCAGGTCTCTCTTCTCTTGCACTGCAACAGCTCTGGATGCCCTCCTGGCATACCTATGGCAGGCAGGCTGGATACATTTCATGTGGCCTGAGCCTTCTTGAGCCTCTTCTCTCTCTTGCTTAGCAAGCGCACTGCCCTGGAATGGAGCTGCCCTTTCCCAAGCCCAGTCTTCTGGAGGCAGCGGGGAGCCCTCCAGACCTTCATAGTGAGAGCTCCTGAGGGCTGGCAGTAACATTAGTGGGGCCACAGGGACAAAATCAGGAGCTCTTCTTCTCCCAGCTGGAAAACGATGCCAGCAGAGCCCAGAGATATGAAACCCAGAGCTGGGGAAAAGGAAACCAGCAAGGCTTCCCTGAGCGAGCAAGAGTTCATGGGGAAAAAATCCAACGCACACACACACACACACACACACACACACACCAAAAAGGAGACATTCTTAGCCTGCAGCAGTTGGTAGCATTATGTAAAATCCCAAGCCCACAAAAATATCATTTGGATGATAAAAAGTTAAATTTAGCTGAGTACAGAGTGACTAATACTATGAGGGAGAGGCAGCACCCCCAGTTGCCTGGAGCTGATACAGCTGGCTTTTAGAAACTTTTGACAAGTAACCAGGGCTTGTGCAGCACAGAATAACAGATTATGTAATAAGAGATACAGCCATTGGCAACACAAAGCACAGATCGAGCAAGCAACCACAGCTTCTCCAAGGAGGGAACAGGTAGGGAATCCAACAGGACCCTGTCTTAGAAATCCTGGGCTACGGAGACCTTCATATCCCAGTGGGCTCCAGAGGCACTGGCCTCTGGTTTGTGTAAACAAGAAGCTTTTCCAGTGTGGCTCAAGTAAACTGCCATCTTGGTGGACTTCAATGAGCATCCTTCCTTTTGAGTTCAGCCTGGCCCTCTGACCTGTCTGAACCAACAGAATAGACTAGAAATGACACTGTGCCAAGTTTGTGTCTAAACCTGAGGAAGGCCTAGCTGAGAACAGAAAGCAGCAATACAGACAGGTATTTCTTCACCCTGTTCACAGCAGCATTACCTACAATAGCCAAAAAGTGAGAGCAGTCATGGATGGACAAATAGATAGCAAAATGTGGCCTGTCCAGACAATGAACATTAGCCTTAAAAAGGAAGGGAACTCTGATACATGCAACAATATGGATGAAATTTGAGGATACTGTGCTGAGTGAAATAAGCTAGTCACAGAGGGACAGATACTGCATGACTGCACTAAGTGCAGCAGCTAGAGCAGTCAAATTCAGAGAGATAGGAAATAAAATGGTAAGTACCAGGGGCAGGGGGAGGAGCAAAGGGAGATAATGTCTAATGGGCACAGAGTTTCATTTTAAGTACAAAGAGTTCTGTAGACGGATGGTGGTGATGGTTGCACAACAATGTGGATGTACTTTAATGGCACTTTGCTGTACACTTAGAAATGGTTAAGTGGTCAATTATATGTATATTTTATCACAATAAAAGAAATTAAGAAAAAAGGAGGAAGTGGCCACAGCAGCCTGAATTCTTCTGCACTTGTGTTCTGGGGGAAGAAGTAGCCTTGTAAGAAGCCAACTAGCTGGGGCCCAGCCCAGCCCAGCCCTGGGGAGCAGGCATGTGAAGGAAGCTTCAGCTGGTATAGCCAAGTGCCAGCACCAACTTGCCAGCCATGGGAGTGGGGCAATCTTGGAAATGGATCCTCCAGCCCAAGTGAAGACATCCAGCTGACACCAGTGAATGGGCAATGTCCCCACCAAGCCTTGTCCAAATGGTTACATCATAAGCAAATAAATAAAACGGCAGTTTGAGAGAGTATTCTATTATGTAGAAATAGACAACCAATAGTGGTGAGGCTCTCTGAGGGGTTGGCTCTGCAGATGCTGCTGTTCCCCCTCTAGTTGTTTGCTGTCAACCATGGTCAACCCCTGCATGTTCTTTGACATTGCTGCTGACAGCGAGCCCTTGGGCCGTGTCTCCTTCGAGCTGTTTGTAGGCAAAGTTCCAAAAACAGCAGAAAACTTTCATGCTCTGAGCACTGGAGAGAAAGGATTTGGTTATAAGGGTTCCTGCCTTCACAGAATTATTCCAGGATTTACGTGCCAGGGTGGTGACTTCACATGCCACAATGGCAATGGCAGCAAGTCCATCTACGGGGAGAAATTCGATGATGAGAACTTCATCCTGAAGCACACAGGTCCTGGCATCTTGTCCATGGCAAGTGCTGGGCCAAACACAAATGGCTCCCAGTTTTTCATCTGTACTGCCAAGACTGAGTGGTTGGATGGCAAGCACGTGGTTTTTGGGAAGGTGAAAGAAGGCATGAACATCGTGGAAGCCATGGAGCACTTTGGGTCCAAGAATGGCAAGATCAGCAAGAAGATCACCATCACTGACTATGGACAGCTCTAATGTGTTTGACTTGGATGTATTGCAACCACCAGACCATTCCTCTAGCTCAGGAGAGCACCCTCCGCCCAAACTGCTCGCATTGTCCCATCATCTCTGCTCATTTGTCATGCTCTGACATTTCTTCTGTAATGGGCAACACCGAATAGCTTCTGCACTCACCTCACTGGATCAGGAATTTGCACACTGTGGACAGAGACCTTGATGGTTTCTGTGGGTGCAGTGAAATGATCGATGGTGTGGTGTCCAGACCAGAGTTCCAGGGGCTGACTCTGTAAGTCAGCTCCCCTTACAGGGCCTCAGTTTCCCCATCCACAGAGTAGGAAATAGCTACATGGTCTCTATAAGGCCTCTCCACTCAGCTCCACACTGTGCAGTTCCCTGGTTCTGACATGAGGGAACCTCGACAGATGATCCAAAACCCAGTGACTTGCATCTAGGTTTACAGGCCAGACTCAGTCCCTGGGACCCTCACACATGTCCCTTTGGAACCCTACTCTCCACTGTGTCCTGTGTCCTCATGAGTTTGTTCATTCATTTCACAACATCTGGCTTGGTTCAATTTTTCTTTTCCTATGTCACATTTTTAGCCTTCTGGAGCTAAATAAGGCTATGAAATTAGAAGACATCACTTCCAAGCTCAGCACTTAAGATGTCCGTATGATCCTTCATGTGTGCCAATGCGCTCTTGTTCTCTTCCCCGCTCCTCCCTCCTTTTACCTCCCAACTGACTGATGGACCCAGCAGAGGACTACAAAGGAGTCCCAGGGAACACTACAACCACAGTGTGAAAGGAACCTGAGTCCCTGATTCACTAATCCAACAATGCCAAGAGTGAAACAAGCCTTTACTGAGCTATGTCACAGAGACTGAGGGAGTTTGGTATAACATTACTTACCCTTACTAACCTGCTCACCAACCTGCTACTACACGTCAGAGATGTGAAAGAAACAGGACGAGTAGGCCCAGGCCCAGTCTTCACTAACCCTCCTGGAACGACTAGTCTAATACTCAAGGAGTATCAGACACAGACCAGTTCTGCATCTGACTATTACATGCTAAACAGTGGGTGGGAGCCCTTCCTGTTTCCAAAATCCTTATGGCATTGGGTCATTACAATTTCCCCCAAGATGAGATGAACAAAGAAAGAAGCCAAGGAGAGAGAAAGTTTACACCAAGACTTTTTCTTGAGAACAGTCTACAAGCAAATGAGTAAAAAGTCTTAGCTGTGTTCTTCCTGATAGGCAAAGCAGGGAGAGAAATAAGTTCACTCACAGCGTGCTAGCCAACAGGAAAACACTGGTTCAGGGTGAAAAACAAACTTTGTGCCAGTGAGCAGCTCTGTGGGGACTGGGCTACAGGGTTACCAGTTAGGCTTCCACATCTGGCACAGCCAGAGGGACCAAGATTGCCTCCAAAGCCATTGGCCCCCAAGGTGTGGGGACAGCTTTGCAGCCCTGTCTGCGGTGTGACTGGCTCTTGAGGACAAACTACTCCATGTAATTCTTCATCCTCATTAATATCAACACTGCAGCACCATGATAATGATGGAAAATATTTACATACCGTACCACTGACGGGTTGTGTGGACCATCTGGCTACTGGATGCGGTATTGTCAGACACATGGTCCTTCCACAAATGCTGCGCCTTAGTACTGAGGGCAGCAATGGAAACGGCACCACCTGGCCTGTCCTGTCATACTCTCGGCCACTGGGAACGCCAGTGGCCACTGCCTGCTCATGTCCAGCTTGCCCAAGTCCGTGGAGGGCCTAGTCACCTGAAGGTGGAGAGCAGCACTTGAGACTCCCAGCTCCTGATGGATCTGGGCTCTGCATTGATGATGCTTCTGACTCCCCGGCTGATCACAACCTCCTCGGCACTCAAGTGCTCCCAAAAAGACTGACACGGGGACTCCTCCAGTCAGCTCAGGGGCTGCTGGATGTTCCCGAGGCAATGGCTCAGTGCGCCTGTCCTAGAGCAGTTTTTGCCTGTGTGTGTCATGCTCGGACCAGCTCAGGCCTCATAACTGCAGCGGGTAGGTGCGGGAAGGTGACCTGAGCCTTATCCAGAATTTCTCTTTATTCTGTCCAGGTTGCCTCCACTGAGTTCTAGCATCATGTTGGATGCACAGTTGGTTTTTTGTTTTTTGCTTTTTGTTTTCTGGACATGAAAATTTTTTCTTTTAAAGACTGGGGTGTTAGGTGGGCTGTTTTATTACTATTTTCTTAATTTTAGTAAAGGAAAAAAGTTCCTTTTGGAATCTGTTCTAAAGTAGCAATTTTCTTAATGAGAAGCATACGCTGGCCGCCCACATGAGGAGGCTTTGTCAGCAGGGCGATCATATCGCCCTGTGAATGTGGCAAGTCGTGCCACCTCCCTGACAGCCATGAGTCACAGGGAGCTCGTCACAGGTGTGTGTGTGGCTGCCTTGGGGTCAGCTTCACAACTCTGACATGGGCTTTCCAAGGGGCGCCTGCAGGGAAGGCCTGGCCTTGTTTCTGTTACCTTTGAGCCTGCGGGCTTAAGGCCTGTTTATAGGTAACTCCCTGTGGCCTAGAGAACAAATGGGCAGGGCTTAGGAGCCAGCTCTGCCTCACCTGGCTCCTGGAATCTGAGTTTAGGCTGATAAATGACCACTTGGCTCTCAGTGGCTTCCTGAGCACCAGGCCAGCAGTCTCTCTGGGTCCCTGGATCTCATGAAGGGTCATGATCTTCCCTGAGACTAAAGCTTCTATCCCTGCAATGTCACCTACGGACAGAAGCCAGTGACCAAAGTCAGAGCCCTTGGCTAGACGTGGCAGGAGGCACTGTCAGAGGCACCCAGATGCACACTGAAACAGTACCGAGGCATAGCGGCTGTCTCCTGAGAGTAATAACAGGCTGGGATGACAACTGTCACTGGCAGCACCCAGCACCTCTGTGAGGCAGGTGGCCAGGCAGAGGCCAGGCCATCTCCCCATGAAGCTCCTCCTCAGCAATCAGACCTGGAGCACCTGTTATGAGCTGCCCTTTAGTTCTCCAAAACATTTTTTCTGCTCACCTGCTTCGAGATGGACTAGACAAATGCTCTTTTTGCAAGAGTTATCTAAGCCCCTGGAAACAGGGAAATTTTAAGGAAGGCCACACCTGGATCACTGGGCACTTCTTTGTACCAGGGTCCTAAGCATACAGCAACAGGCTGGGGACACCCAGAGTGGACATAGCATGGCCCAGGACTCCCCAGAGAACAGAGTTTTAGGCCTGGGGTTGGCCATGGGTCCAGCCCTAACCCAAGCCCCACCAACTCATCAAGAAGCCAAACTGCTTAAATGTTCTGCTCATTCTCTTTATTCTTAGATTAGACCTTTTCTACTTCTTTATGTCCTTTTGTTCGTGAGTTGAAGGCTAGAGTGAATTGTAGCTTTTTTGAGTGCATGGTTAAATAAAGACAGCGTTTACCATGCTACCCATTTTTAGGTGCACAGTGCAGTGGCATTCAGTGCGCTCAGTGCTGTGCAGCCATCACCATTTGTCTCCAGAGTGTTTTCATCTTCCCACGCTAAACTCTGTCCCCATTCAACACAACTTCCAGATTGCACCTTTCCTGCCAGCCCCTGGTAACCTCTGTGAATGGCAGCTCTTGGGAAATAATACTCTTATTTGGAAAAAAAATTTTTTTAATTGCACAGGTTAAATCCAATTCACAGGCCTGTTCAGGTCCTTCCAGGACAAATCTGGGTTCCCCCTAGACACAGATCCCCAAAGGTGAGATGTGTCAAGAGGTCCGACCTATGGGGATCTAGAAAGCACCAGGAGCTCCTCAGACACCCAGGGACGGACAGGGTGTCAGAGGAGGGGTGAGGCACAGACTTCTGCTCTGCCTCCCTCCAGACCATAGCCGGATGGCAGGGAGCCAAACCCCAAGGGTCCCTTGTCTATCTTGCCCACATGGACACCTAACAGACAGGTTGCTCTTCCAAGGCTGTATCAGGAACTCCGCCTGCCACAGCCGGCCCACTGTCCTGGGTGACTTGGCTCCAGATTTTAATTTTACTTAAAAGCTCTTCCCCGTCTGGGGATTTGAGGTTGAAAACCATTGCCTGCCCTCACATCCTGCAAGTGGAGTGCAGATGGGCCCTACCTCTATGGACAGCAGTGCAGCCAGAGTTGTCACAGACAAGACAGAAATGCCAGGAGCTGGTGATCCACCCTCTGGAGTGGTGTCCTGCAGCTCAGAGCCACAGACAGAAGAATCCACAGCTCCCAGGACCCTCACCTCAGCCTCATGCACAGCCCACCTCCTGTTGGTCCCATTCAAGTTCTGTCAACAGCAATCTGGCTCAACAAACCAGGGTCCCCCCTCCTAGGAGGCCCAGGCGACTGTAACCAATTCCACGGGGCCCCATCTCCAGGATTTATGCACTGCTAGACCAAAAAAGCAGATGCACAACAGTAGGCAGCTATTTGTGTTGGGTTTTTTTTTTTTTTAAAAAAAGTAATATATATATTCATATATGCAGATAATCTCTTGGAAAGAAAACATACACATAAAACTAGCATCCATGTTTGTCCCTGGAGGAAAACTAAGACACTAAAGACAAGGCAGCAGGAAATTTGACATTTGTCTGTGGACCCTTTTCTCTTTTCTTTTTTTCAAAAGGGGGGGATCAAACTCAGGACTTGTGCTTGAAGGGAAGGCACAGTGCCCTGAGCTAAATCCCCAGCCCTGGTCCCTTTTCAGTTTTGGTACCAAGTACATTACTTATCCAAATGATTTTTGAAATAACACATATGACTTTTATTATATATCATATTACTTTCCTATAATCTATTATGTTTGAGTTCCATAAACTAAGGGATATTACCCAATTTATCTCTACAATCTCGCCTACGTCTACGGCCATGTCATGTACAACTTTTTGAGGGCTTTATTTTATATATACATTCAATGCTGTGGGTTGAACCCAGGACTTTCCCACTAAACTATATCCCCACCAGATTTTTGTTTTTGTTTTTTAATTTTGAGACAAAGTTTCAC